AATACAACAGAACCACTGACAAAACATATTGATAGCTGTGATAGCTGACTGAGCAGATAAGGATCCAGGATCAACTAAGCTTGGCTTTTAGCCTGGTTTGGAGTAGTAAAGTTGCACAGAATAAATCACAATGGTGACTTATGTGTTGCGGTCCTTTGCCTTGATAGGAACAGGGTTTAGAACAATACTATTGACAGAAATCAGAATTTCTCCAACCACCTACTACTTACACATAATTGAGTTTGTAGCCTGGATTTATTTCAAGATCCTCCAGCTGCTGAACATCGGATTCCTGTAGGTTGTTGTTCTTCAGGTCCAATTCCATCAGATGTGAGGGGTTGGACTTCAGAGCTGACACCAGAGATGTACAGCTCCACCTCGACAAATTGCAGCTCGCCAATCTTAATTAAGCAAAACATGGAGCTTAAGACTGGTTCAGGTTAAGAAAGCCCAACAGAACTGTTCTTAAGAGCTCTCAATGATATTAGTGACATGCTGTTGCTTAAGGTAAGACCTGTTCACTTCAACTCCATTAGCAGCTCCTTAAATACTAACTCCGGTTCTATGAATTTTGAAGGAAATATGTAAACATACAGATAAAAGCTAAAAAAAAAAAGCAAAATCAGCCTTCGGCCGCTCTGCTCCCCAGCTCTGGAACTCACTTCCTCCCGACCTCCGCAGTATTGATTCTCTCCCCTTATTCAAAACCAAACTCAAAACCCATCTGTTCCAGCTCGCTTATCTGTGAATACACTGCTCTTTTCCCTATCCATGATTAGTAATTGTTTTATTTCAGCAATGATTTAAAAACTAACATGCTTTGTTGGGTTTAGAGCAACCACAGCCAGTGAATGGCCCAAGGATACTTTGAATTAGTCATTACCTGACTTATTTAAAGTAGGTGGGGTCAGCACTGCAACGCCATGAGCAAGGTTGTACAACTAGTGCATCCTTCTCAGATTCAGAGTAGAGATGTTTAGGATGAGCAGGCATTGTATTCATTACAATTTTAAGAACTCTGTGGCATTTCAAACAGGATATATGATGATTTATAAATCCTGTGTCTCTAATCAATAAATATAGTTGGAACAAAGTTATATATTTACTCTTTGAAATAAGTAGATTTTAAAATGTATGTCACTACTTTATTCCAAAGTAAATGTATACTCATATGTAATAGTCCAAATGATTTTTTTCCAAATTGAAAAATTAAGTTATAACAAAGCAAGAATCTTGTTTATGATCTGTTATAAATTATACTTTTACTTCGTATGAATGCAGTTTAAATGTATATTTTCAATTATTTCTTAAATTTAGTTTGAGAAACAGTAATACATTTAAGTGTTAAAAATTCAGTATTTTTTTAAATCAACCTAAAGTATATTTTTGTAGTGAAATCGCAGCCTTTTGGTCATTGCACCTTGCACGTTGTAATTTTCTTTCAGCTGACTGACTAAATCAGTGCCCAATATATGTGAGTTATAAAACACTCAACTAAAACACAGTTTCTCACCTCAATATCTGTAGTTTGCAGAGAGGGATCTGGAGGAAACCACAGAGTTTCTTCACTCCAGTATCTCTCAGGTTGTTCTGACTCAAATCCAGTTCTGTCAGATTGGAGGGGTTGGACTTTATAGCTAAACCCAGAGAACCACAGCTGACATCTGATAACTTGCAGTTCTCCAATCTGAATAAAAAAACAAACATGGAGCTGAAGCCAAAAGCTTACTCCACACAGTGCTAAAGAACTAATTAAAGAGCTGTTATTGATATCATTGAAAACCTCATTCAATAAAGACCTCAAATTAACCAGCAGCTCCATGAATGCAAACTCAGGCACTGTAGTAAAAATATTTACATTTGACTATAATAATGATTCAATAACCATAAAACATGATGTCATGGAGAATAGTTGATACAAAAAGTGAGAAAAAACCCCTCTGTAACATAATCTCTATGCTGTATCTCACCCCTATTTCTATCTATCTCCTTTTATTTTAAAACTTTTCTTCAAAGTTGTCTTTCCTTTTACCTTTCTTGTGTGTCTTTTTGTCCATTGCATTTAAAAAAATCCAAACCGTTTGTTAGGTTTGGATTTAAAAAAAAAGACAGAAGTTCTGGAGAATCAGCTGCCTCTCTCTCTCTCTCTCTCTCTCTCTCTCTCTCTCTCTCTCTCTCTCTCTCTATATATATATATATATATATATATATATATATATANAGAGAGAGAGAGAGAGAGAGAGAGAGAGAGAGAGAGAGAGAGAGAGAGAGGGGTAGATATATATAACTATAGATATAGATTCATAGACATATATAGATATATTATATATAAAGAAATATATAGAATATATTTGTAAATATAAATACATTTACTGTCAGACAGAATCAAGTTTAAACAATTATGTTAAGTTATGCCAACTCAGACTAAAAATCTACAAATCCTTTGATGTTTTATGATTATTATTTGAAAGACATTTTAAGTGTGCCAAAGCAGTGATGAAGAAATGGCAAAAGACTGACATTTGGATCCTCAGTAAGGATCAGCAGAGAATCAACAATATGTCGGCAGAAAAAACTTTGCCTTTGTAAAATCTGCACTGAACTAAACGATGACCTTACCTTAATATTTGTAGTTTGCATAAGGGAGCCTGTAAAAACCCACAGAGCTGTTTCACACCAGCATCTTGCAGGTTGTTCTGGCCAAGGTCCAGTTCTGTCATATTGGATGGATTGAACTTCAGAGCTAAGGCCAGAAAGGCACAGCTGAGCTCTGACAGCCTGCAGCCCTTCAATCTGTATCAATAAAAAAACTATGAGCTGAAGTCTAAAAGATGTTTAAAATAGTTCAAAAGAAACAATTAAAGCTTCAGTAGTGGGACTAAACAGAAAGATGAAAATGGCCTTTTTCTAAAGTGGGTTGGAGTGAAATTTATGATGTGACATATTGCACTGTGTGGGTGACAGCCCATTGGCCAGGATAGGGTAGCTCCTTTTAGACGTACATTTTAGAAAACACAGATGGACCAATCATATTCTTTCACGTAGTTTTTACTGATATGGGAAGATAATTCTCTTTTAATCTAAAAAAAGGCCAACCTAGCACCCACACCACAGCCTCACCGTAACCAGAGTGAGCTCAGTGTTAAACTGTCAGTTTAACCTTTTTTGAGAAACTAGAGCAATTCAGCAATTGTTATATTCTCTCTATGAATTTAATGAGCAAAGTAAGAAAATTAACCCAGTTTCTGTGCATTCAACAATTTGTTTATTTTTTTAAGTTACTTTGTATGTATAATTTAATACAGACAGATATTTTTTTTAATAAAAAGAATGGTTTTGAAATTGAGAAATGTTTTAGAATCTGAAAGGTCTTACTTGAACTTCTTTAGTTTGCAGTGGGATGTTTGTAGAAAACCACAGATCTCTTTTATTCCGGCATCTTTCATACTGCAGTTCCTGCTCAGGTCCAGTTCTGTCAGATGGGAGGGGTTGGACTTCAGAGCTGAGACCAGAGAAGCACAGCTGATCTCTGACAACCTGCAGCTCTCTAATCTGAACAAAGAATATAACATAAGAGATGAAGGGAATGGGGTGCAGGTTGAAACACTCCAATACAACTCTCTTTTTCACATTTCACAGAAAACAAACAAGTCACATGGAATTTGGGGGAAAATCATAGATGTAGATTATTGCATATATTTTTGGAAGACAAAAAAAACAGAATATTTTATGTAAGAGAGACTTTCAGGGCTGAACCAAAGACCCCCCAAAATAATAAATTAATTAATAAAAAACACACAGAAACACAATCCTACCCTGAAAGTCAACTCAGTGTTTTATTATTATTATTTTTTATTATAATTATTAAATAAATTCTAGGGAGCAGTTAAAAATATAAAGAAAACTTTAACTGGACCATTCCAATAAGGAAAAAAATCTTTGAAAGTGTCAACACATTTTTGACATCAAATGATCAGCACTAACTAAAAACAGTGTCTTACTTCAATGTCTGTAGTTTGCAAAGGGGCATCTGGAGAAAACCACAGAGCTCATTCACTCCTGTATCTTTCAGGTCATTGCAGCTTAGGTCCAGTTCTGTCAGATGTGAGGGGTTGGATTTCAGAGCGGACACAAGGGATGTACAGCTGTTCTCTGACAACCTGCAATGCTCCAATCTGAGTAAAGAACAAACATTTGAGCAGAAGCAAACAGGATACAGGTTAAGATAGCCAGAGCTGAAATTACCACTAATCTGCAAAATGAGTCATTTGACTGAGCACTTATAAATCGTAAGGGACGTCTTTATATTGTGATTGTTTAATTTTATTTTTAATTGCTACCTCTATTCAATTTTGAAGTAATTGTTGCAAAACCTTTACTGCCTCTTTTCCAGGACTCTTGTAAATACCTTTATATTTACAATTAAAATTTCCTGGTTAAATTACAGCTTCAAATAGAAAATTTTTAACACTGGGATTAAATCCTTCTAAAGATGCAAATTTACACATTTCCAGTCGCAATGCCATCATTTTCTGACCTTAAATCAGGGAGTTTGAATCAATTGCTTAGGGAAACTAATAGAGATGTTCTGATCCCATTATAATATTATAATCCTTAAAGGGAAATGCCTAATTTTTTTACATTGGGCGTTTGATTTCACATTATTACATCATCTTCTACTCACCCATATTAGTTTTGTGTCATTTGGAGCTGTTCTGAAGATATTCCGTTATATCAGTTATATCCAAGTAACGTCTTCCTATGGGCAATAAGTTGAAGGCACAAACTAAACTGTTTATTATTTATCATTTATGGTAAGCCAGCATTCATAACATATAGGCGAATGGCTGTCCCTCCGAAATCCGCAGTTCTATTTTTTATATTTATATTTTTTTTAAACAAAGCAGAGTGTGTATGACGTCATCCGCGCGCCGGACTGGAGTTGTGACAGGCAGCCCGTAGCCACAGGCGGCTACGCTCTACCCCTTCTATTCATTCGGCGAGCTAATCTGAATCGAGAGAGAGCCAGATCATCTGTGGTAGTAGCACTAGAAATCTTCGAGGCATGTGAGTAAAACTAGCAGCAGTTCAGTGGACAAGAGGAATGAATGGTAGCGCGCAGATGATGTCATACACGCACCACTTTGCTTTTAAAAAATATAACCACAGATGTCTGGGGGACAGTGATTCGCCTACATGTTATGAATGCTGGCGTACCATAAAGAATAAAATATGAACAGTTTAGTTTGTGCCTTCAAGTCGTTGCCCATAGGAAGACGTTACTTGGATATAACCTAACGGAATATCTTCAGAGCAGCTCCAAATGACACAAAACTAATATGGGTGAGTAGAAACTGATGTAATAATGTAAAATCAAGGTAACAATGTAAAAAAAAATGGTGTTCCCCTTTAATTACTGTCCACTACCTTAGTTATTACATTTATTTATACAGGTATTTCAATCATGTTCTTCGAATTATTTCTATCTAAGGAATACCTGCTGATTGTGATGACTCAGTGACTCTGCAATCCCTGAGCATGCATGTAGTGACAGTGGAGAGGAAAACTCCCTTTTAACAGGAAGAAACCACCAGCAGAACCAGCCTCAGTGTGATCGGCCATCTGCCGAGGCCGACAGGGGTTCAAGGAGACAGAAACAGATGAATAAATAAACAAACTAAGTTCTTTGGTGCTCGGACCGCCGCAGAAGACTTAGATTCCATGAGTCAACATAGGCTTGGATGAGTAACCTAGAAAAGAATTAGAGAAGTCTTCCCCTGGGGCCCAGACACTGGTGGTGGAATAAGCCAGGTGATGAGTGGGACTGAGAATGAGGGAGGCAATGATGAGATGAGGTGAATGCAAATCAGGGGAGGACATTTAAACAGAACAAACCCTAAATTGGATCAAAGCTAAAGATCGTTTTAGTTTGGATCAGTAGATTTCCAATGATCCAGTAAGTGTGCAGTTTAGTGTGAACACAACATTCTGCTTAGAACTATCCCTACTAAACTAAAACATGGTGTCTTACCTTAAAATCTGGAGTTTGCAGAGGGGAATCTGTAGAAACCCACAGAGCTCTTTCACTCCTGTATCTCTGAGGTCATAGTTCTGACTAAGATTCAGTTCTATCAGATGGGAGGGGTTGGACTTTAGAGCTGAGCCCAGGGAGGCACAACTAATCTGTGACAAACGGCAGTTCACCAATCTGAATAAAAAATAAAACCTGTGAGCACACGGCAATAGGATGCAGGTTAAAACTTAAAAATTAGGTATTACATAATAAACAAGTTAAGGATTAATTTCACTACATGTAAAAGAGAGGAAGCATCTGCATTCTGCTCTGTTCTGATCTGGGCAGGGTTCGTCCCCCCCTAGTTACAACAATGGGAAAGCAGTCAGAGTCATAACAAATTACACACACTTTGCTTAACAGTAA